ACTGTTCATTTAAGAAGGCATTCTTATCTCTTCTAGCTACTCTCTGGAATTCTGCATTCAATTGGGTGTATCTTTCTCTTTCTCCCTTGCCTTTCGCTTCCCTTCTTTCCTCAGCTTTCCTCAGACTTTGTTGAACAGAGTCTCATTCTATTGGCTTTCAAAAGCCAATAGGAATTGTCCAGGCTGTCTCTGCCCCGCTGAGCCCACCAAAAGTCCCATTCTGCCAATGGTGCTGCACCAGTTGAGTAGTCCTCGACTTACGACTGGTTGAGTAGTCCTCGACTTACGACCGGTTGGGGGTCATGGCATTAAAAAGGTTGAGAACCCCTGTTCTAGACGTTGGCTGTTCCTGCCAACAAAGGAACCAACACTGTGTTCCTTAGAAAAGCTTCAAAGATGCTCCCAAGCGTTGCCTCTTAAAACCTCACAGAAGATGGGAAAGTCTGTCTTGAAAGTGCCCAATCAGCAAAGAGACCATCTTCACTGACAGCCCTAAGCCAAGAACAGATTCTAACCCCATTTGTTGAATAAACCATAAATGCCTTGATTTGCACATTGCACCAACTTCCAAAGAAACTACATCTTGAGTTAGAACATCATTTGAATTGATGTGTACCATTTGTGGCCTTTGGGGGGGGGGTCTTCTAAACCAGGACTTTTCAACCTTTTCAGAGATTGTACCACTTTTAGGATATAGCAGTATTTGAGTACCACCAGTCGCCTAGCAGGCGGGCGTGGCCTTCTCGACGCCACTCACTGGACACAGCTGGTTTGAGACAGCTGGGTCAGAACGGAACAAGTCGCACTGGCTAACTCGATGTGGGGACAACTTGGGGCACCACAAACTCCTCGCCTTCCCAGACTGCTAGCAGCCAAGCACATGTGTGCGCGCACACACACCGCATTCCAGGTTTGGGGATTTTTATCCACAGAGGAAGGAGAGGGCCTTCTCCCCAAGGCCAGACATGATTGGCAGTTTGCTAGCTCAGATGTAGATACACGTTTCCAAGCTTGGAATGTGTGTGTGTGTGTGTGTGTGTGTGTGTGTGTGTAACACACTAAAGAGATGTTCTTTTCCCAATCTCACATATCGTTGGTGTTTCCCTGTCCAGTGCATAAGTCTATGTACTTCCCTGTCTCACAACTCAATCCATACATCCTTTAATTTTCAGACACATCTTCTTCACATAAGCTCCTTAAAAAACCCACAAGGTATACTGTAATTAGCAGGAAAAATAAATCTAGCACTTCTAAATTCTTTCCCCAAGGGGGAAAGGAAAGTTCACAGCCTGCAAGTTGCTAGCAAAGTCGTCAAGCAACATAGTTATTGCTGCTAAAGACAAGAATAAATAACGAATCGATTTTGCCGCTCTCTCCTGTTACTACATCCTCTTACCTCCAGAATGTGGCCTGGGATTGCACAAGGGGCTAGGCTAAAATCCAGTTGAGTAGTTTGCAGCCAGATATTCGGTACAGACCTTGCCAATGTGATTTTAATAGCCCAAGAAGGGATAGGAAAACCCGAGGAAAACTTTGCAATCAATAAACTACAACGAAGGAGAAACTTCTTAACAGTGAGAACAATTAACCTGCGGAATGGCTTGTCTTCAGAAGTTGTGGGTGCTCCATCACTGGAGGTTTTTAAGAAAAGACTGGACAGCCATTTGTCTGGAATGGTATAGGGTTTTCTGCCTGAGCAGGGGGTTGGACTAGATGACCTTAAAGGTCCCTTCCAACTCTGTGATTCTACGATCTGTGTTGCCTAAAGACTTTTAGGGCTCCTGTCCAACACTTTACACATCTTCTCTCTTTCTGGATGAACCGTTTTCCCGACGAGCAGGGTACCAAAAGCAGCCCTGTGGCTCCCTGTTTTCGTAGAAGGGCCGTGTTTGGTTTTTACATCTCTAGTTTTCTGAGTACACCAGGAAATGTTAATCCTTATTATAATGGCTAACGCTTACTTAGAAGAGAAGGAAAAAGATGCATTTGGAGACGGCACTGGGGTTGGCTCAAATGGTGCTCATATCATTTTGATACCTGTATGAGAGAGATGGGATTTTGTGGGGTTACTCCAGTGTAAAAGAATCGTTCCGCTGGATGGAAGTAAAGCTTCTTTGTTGCAGAGGCCGTAAGGATTATGGTGATGGCATAACTTTCCGTTGGAGAAGTGCCTAGGGGCAGTGTTTCTCAACCATGACAATTTTAAGGCATGTGGACTGCAACTCCCAGAATTCCACAGCCAGCGATGCTGGCTGTGGAATTCTGGGAGTTGAAGTCCACATGCCTTAAAATTGTCAAGGTTGAGAAACACTGGCTTAGGGTCACGGTGGGTGGGAAGGGAATAAAAAACAGTCATAAGTCACTTTTGTCAATGCTGTTCTAACTTTGAACAGTCACTAAATGAGCTGTTATAAGTCGAGGATTTTCTGCCCTTGGAGAATACCAGAAAACTGCCAGAGCAAACTATGAAAACACGTAGCAAACCCGACACACACTAGCATTGATGATGTTCCCTAGCTGGGTCATGAAACATCTGCAAGAAAACAACTGAGCTCAGAGAGCACCAACAGACCTCACAGTTCAACCCTGAGCTATTTTCTTCCTTTGATCCAGGAAAAATTGGTCCTCAAACACTCTCCTCTCATTAATTTTCAAGAGAATCTTGAATGTGTATAATTTAATGCAGGTAGTCCTTGAGTTACAACCATTTGTTTAGCAACTGTTCAAAGTAACAGTGGCATTGAAAAAAGTGATCTCTGACCAACTGTTTGTTTGTTTATTTATTTATTTATGAGACTTATATACCACTTTAAGTGCAAGCATTCTCTAAGCGGTGTACAGCAGTAAGCAATGTATATATATATATTTACATTGCCCCCAACAATCTGGGTCCTCATTTTACCTACCTCGGAAGGATGGAAGGCTGAGTCAACCTTGAGCCGGTGAGATTTGAACCGCTGACCTGCTGATCACAGTCAACTAAAGTGGCCTGCAATACTGCACTCTAACTGCTGCGCCACCTCGGCTCAACTATTGCAGCATCCATCCCAAGGGTCACCTGATCAGAATTGGGTGTTTGGCAACCAGCATGCATTTACGTCGGTTGCAATGTCCCAGCGTCCACTGGGGTCATGTGATTGCCCTTGGTGACCTTCCCAGCCTGGTTAATGCTTTCCCCTGCAGTGTAAAGCTAGTCCTCCAGTTTCAACCACAATTGAGCCAAAAATGTATGTTGCTAAGTGAGATATTTGTTCATTGAGTTCTGCCCCCATTTTACAACTTTTCTGACCGCATGTGTTAAGTGAATCACTGCTGTTGTTAAATTAGTAACACCGTTGTCAAGCGAATCTGGCTTCCCCATTGACTTTACTTTGCCAGAAGATCACAAAAGGTGATCACATGATTTCCAGACACTACAACCATCATAAATATGAGCCAGTTGTCAAGCATCCGAATATAAATCACATGACCAGGAGGGTGTCGCAACGATCAAAAGTGTGAAAAACAATCATGTCACTTTTTTTCAGTGCGGTTGTAATGTTGAACGGTCACTAAATGACCTGTTGTAAGTCGAGGATGACCTGTATAGCTGATATTGAGGACACAAAGGATTAAGTGACGATCCCTCTTTTCAGTGTAAGTCAGTATGGCTGCCATAAGGGGCATTCAGGGAAGCTTAAGTCAAACTTTCTTTGGGAAAAGCTCAATTTCTGGTAACTTCATTGATTATACCACCGTACTTTTCTTAGAAATGATTTGCCAAGAAATTGTTTGGCATCTGCCTCCTTCCCATTCTAGCCTACAACCCTCAGATATCTGGGTGGTCTCCCATCCCTTAGTCACCAGATCTGACTTCCTTAATGTTTCTTAGTTTGATTATTGCCAGCTTCATGTAATTAGTTAATGTAATTTCATTGGCGACAGTATAAAAATGATTGGCCGTTCTCTTCTTCCAGGGTGTTCATTTGATTTCTAAAACTTCCTAACAGTAAGAACAATCGATCAGTGGAACGACTTGCCTCTGGAATTTGTGGGTGCTTCATCACTGGAAATTTTTAAGAATTTTTTTTTTAAAATGTCTGAAATGGTATAGGATCTCCTTCATGAGCAGGGGGTTGGACTAGAAGACCTCAAAGGTACCTTCCAGCTCTATTCTGATTGATTGATTGATTGATTTCCTAGTAGTCTTTTATCCAAGTATTAACCAGTTTTAATTCTGCTTAATTAAAAATTAGCCAAGGTCATCTAGGTCCTGCCATTTGTTGATCGTGTGATCAGAATTCAGACAGTTGACCACCGACTCATATTTATGACAGTTGCCGTATCCTGGGACTCCTCTAACCACCGTGTTACTATCTACAGAACTGCAGTGATAACTGTGGCAAGAAAGGTTGTAAAAAGGGGCAAAATGCATTCAACGCTTAGCAACGGAAACTTCAGACTCAATTGTGGTCATAAGTTGAAGACTACCTGTACTAGAGGCAGTACCTGTTTTTAAGCTTTTTTTAAAAAAAAATAATTGGATTTTTGTCTGCAGATTTAATGATACGACTGATGTTTCCCAATGTTACTAGAACAGAGGTGTGAAAGAAGACTGCTAACCTCAGCATTCAGCTTCTTTGGACCTCAACAAATGGCAGGACCTATCTGGCTAATTTTTAATTAAGCAGGATTAAACTGCTCAACTTACACCCACTTACCAAACACCCACATTTTGATGCTGCAATGGTCATAAATGTATAGAGCAGTCATAAGTTCTTTTTTTAGTGGGTGACTTTGATTTAAGAACGCATTGCTTTTGATTGACATGATGGGAAGGAAACAGAATCTGCATCTCATACTCATGGCTATATTTTCTCCCTCCCTCCCTCCCTCCCTCTTTCTTTCTTTCTTTCTTTCTTTCTTTCTTTCTTTCTTTCTTTCTTTCTTTCTTTCTTTCTTTCTTTCTTTCTTTCTTTCTTTCTTTCTTTCTTTCTTTCTTTCTTTCTTTCTTTCCCTAGGGATGTGAAAGCTGGCAATATCTTACTGGGAGAAGATGGGTCAGTCCAGATTGCCGGTGAGTATCTACTAAATCTTTGGAGGGAGCCCAAACAAAAGCAGAGTTCTGGTTTGTGTGACTAAGTAGATTCACCTTAACACTTGTCTCCTTTCCCAACTTGGGGGGGGGGAGAGAATTTACCAGAGTTGGCAGCATGAAGGGATTTTCCATGTAAAAATTCCCAACCACTCTATCTAAATTCAGCGGTGGTTATTTTGAGACTATGCTTTGTTAGCAGGACATCACCTAGAGCAGTGGTTCTCAACCTTTTTAATGCTGCAACCCCCAACTGGTTGTAAGTCGAGGACTACTCAACTAGTGCAGCACCGTTTGCAGACTGGGACTTTTGGCGGGCTCAGCAGGGCAGAGACAGCCTGGACAATTCCTATTGGCTTTTGAAAGCCAATAGAATTAGACTCTATTCAAGAGAGTCTATTCTATTGGCTTTCAAAAGCCAATAGAATAAAAGGGAGTAGCACAGCTAAGGAAAAGGGGGGAAAAATGGCAGACTGCGTTATTTGGTGACCCCCGTGAAATGGTCGTTCGATCCCAAATGGGGTCCCGACCCACAGGTTGAGAACCACTGACCTAGAGAAACATATTTGCCATAGCCCTTTTTTCTTCTCCTTTTTCTACAACCCATTTGTGCCTCAATTTCCCTTTGGTGAATTTGGAATAGGTTGAGGGATTTTATGCACTCGTGTTTTCTTCATTTGGTGTGGAGGACTGCACTGCACTCCTTAGCTTCTGCTATACTAATTTATAGGCCACACACAGAACTCTTTATTTTTATCAGAGGCCCGTAGTTCCTGGCTTTCCACTCTCGCTCTCTGTCATTTAAACCGGGGGTCCCCAATCCCCAGACCGTGGCCAAGTACCGGGCCATGACTTATTTGCAGCTGAGCCATGTGAGCAGTGAGCCAGTGCACATGTGTGCATGCAGCTTGACTCATGTGAGCAGTGGGCCGATGTGCCCGTGCATGTGCATGTAGCTTAACTCGCAGTCCAGCTGTGTGTGCATTTGCGTGCGGGCCGTCCCACCACTCACTTGAGACAAACTGCATACCCTAGCCTGCTGTGCCTCTCCTCCCAGCCGGGGCGCCAAGCAGCAAAGGTTGGGGAATGCTGATTTAAACAAGGTTTGTTAGAGAAGAGAGCCCTGCTGATGTTTGGCTGTGTGGATGCAGGATGCTTGAGCAAAATCCCAACTGAAATGGAAAACGGTTTTGATGGAGGGCAGTCTTCTGCAGAGTATGAGAAGTTCAGACTTTGCTTATCTTCTCCCTGGAAGAGAGGGGAAGGCAAACTGTAGCGGAAAGAAAAAAGGGGGTCTGATGTTGGAATCCTGGATTTGAATCTTGCCTTTGAAATGGCTCCAAGTGCTGGTGGATTGATATTCTTCCTATGCTCATGATTCTCTTAGTTAAGAGATTATTCCAACCAAAGAATGGAGATCTCAGTTTCTCATTTAAACTGGCTGGATTGGTTCAGGATGAACCAGTTGGGTAAAGCTAAATCCATTGTGAGTTGTAAACCATGATTTAGGGTTTACTGTGATGTTTGTGCCACACCATTGTGGTGTGTTCATCAAACTATGATCAAACATCTGGTGATTTAATTGGATGTGTGAATAGTTCTTTGGTGCATCTGACGAGAACTTTGACCTCCCTCCCTCCCTTCCTTCTTTCCTCCCTTTTCTTTACCTTTTCTTTTCCTTGTTTCCTCGCTCCCTTCCTCCTTCCTTCTTTCCTTCTTCCTCCCACCCTCCCTTTTGTTTTCCTTCCTTCCTCCCTCCCTCCCTTTTCTTTCTCTTTTGTTTTCCTTCCTTCCTTCCTTCTTTCCTTCCTTCCTTCCTTCCTTCCTTCCTTCCTTCCTTCCTTCCTTCCTCCCTCCCTCCCTCCCTCCCTCCCTCCCTCCCTCCCTCCCTCCCTCTCAAAACCAGCTTTGTACATTTCAGGATTTTATAATAGAGCTGTTCCACAGATTCTTTAGAATCAAGAGCGTGTTTTTTAAAAAAATTGCCTTTCTTTCATTTTTAATCATAACAGTTTATCAGCTTAAGAGCCACAACCACCTTTGGCTGTAATATAAATTAGAGCAACTTGTCCCTCCAGTTTCATTGACTTCCAAACTCACCTAACTGTGTGAGATCATCTCAATAGGCATCCAAAGCCTTCCGGTTTGTCTTTTTAAGCTGACCCCTGAATGCTTAATGATGCCTTCACTGGAAATTCATTGTCCCCACCCTGGAGGGAGCTGTGTTGTGTCCGGAATTGGCAACTTTATCTGCATCTTATCCTCCCGTGCTTTGATATCGTTTCTAAACCGTTGGGCATCCCCTGCATGTTGTATTCAGATAAAATAAGGAATTGTTCATGTTGGATTAATCAGTTGCGTGAAAGCCACGATAGAGATGCCACTAATTTCGTTTGTGCAGAATATCGGAGGGGGTCTTCAGCTCACCTTGCCAGTTTTATAGATGTTTTTAATTCATCATTTTAAAGATGGTCTTGGTAAAGGTGTTGAAGTCTTTCCGCATTATGTGGTTGGAACATCTCTTGCAGTATTGTTTCCTTTTGACAGTGGCAAAAAAAAAAAGGAGAAAAACTCTCCATACCGTTAGTCCTCGACTTACAATAGTTCATTTAGTGATTTTTCAAAGTTACAACAACACTGAAAAACGTGACTTATGACCATTTTTTATACCTACAACCATTGCAGCATCCCCATAGTCACCTGATCAGAATTCAGACGCTTGGCAACTGACATGTATTTATGACGGTTTTAGTGTCCCAGGTCATATGATCTCCTTTTGCGAGCTTCTGACAAAGCAGAGTCAATGAGGAAGCCAGACTCACTTGACAAGTGTGTTACTAATTTAACAGTTGCAGAGGTTCACTTAACAAATGTGGCAGGAAAAGTCATAAAATGGAGCAAAATTCACTTAACAAAGTCATCATTTGGCAACGTAAACTCTGGACTCAATTGTGGCCTGTACTGAATTAAAAAGACCTTGCAAATGTCTTTTAACTTCTCTCCGAAATTCAGATTTTGTTTTTGGCTTGGCAGATCAGTTCAGTGTTATTTTAATAGACACATGGAATATGGCAAAATGCCCCTATGAAGACTTGGGGAGTTGTGTTTAAAGATCCTAAAGTACAGTGATGGTGAACCTTTTTGACACCAAGTGCCCAAAAACCGCCCTGCAGCACCATGGCGGCCATGCCCTCCGCCTGCACATCACAGCATCATCTGTGTGCAACAGAGCATGAGGGCAGAGTCTTATATCTGCTGCCTAGCTGCCATATCCTTGGGTGCACTGCTCCGCGCAGGCCGTACCTGGGGGCAACTCTCCTCTGGGGGGGCTGCTGGTGAGGAGGGGGCCATGGGGAAGGCGGGCTGGGGTGACAGCATGCGTGCCCACAGAGAGGGCTCTGAGTGCCGCCTCTGGCACGCGTGCCACAGGTTCGCCACCACTGCTATAGTATAAATGCACTTACGCATGATTCTTATTTTCTGGAGCTAGGAAGATGGTGGAATGTGTTTCCAATGACCAAAATACAGGTAGTCCTCAACATGTGATCCTAATGGAATCTGCCTATTACAGTCATATGTTGTGACTGTCATAAAATGGGTCAGTCATATGATCACCCAATTTTACAACCTTAGGTGGACTTACCGGCTGTTAAGCAAGTACAGCAAGCAAAACCAGGGACTCACTGTGGACCCAGTTTTGCTGAAAACTAGAAATGATGGTTTTTGACAAAATTGTCATTGTGACTGCTGCAAAGGGTGACCCCTGTGGTTGTGAACTTTGGTTATGTGATTGCAGAGGGGCTTGAATGTCGGAACTTCAGAACCTGATTGTAAATAGCCTCACGGTAGATGAGTAAGAACATCGAATGGCTATTAAATGGTCAGTTGAAAGTCAAGGGCTGCCTGCAGGAAAAACAGAATTGCCTGTTGGACTTCTTTCTCTCCTCTGAACAATCCTATTTCATGCTCAAGTAGGAGTACAAAATCTCATGTCACCTTAGAGTCATGTCCGAACCCAGCCATTGGGACTTGCCAATCATTGTTTGCAATGTTCTGTTTTGTGTGACCTGGACTCTCAACCATGTTAAGATGTGTGGACTTCAATTCCCAGAATTCAACTCCCAGCAACCTCTCTGCAGAATTCTGGGAGTCGAAGTCCACACATCTTAAGGTTACTGAGCTCAAACAATTTGGATTTAGATCCTCGTGGCTTATTCAAAAAACCATGGTTAAAACAGGCCAGTTGCCCTGTTGCATGTCTGAATATTCCAAGGTAGGCCCATAAAAAATTAACAGGAAACAAGGTAGAATCCTGGTTTCCCTCACGACATTCTGATCTCTGTTTCACAATCATTTTCCTGTTTGCTTGAACCCACTTGGTTGCTCGTATTTCAGATGGAACTGCATTTTTTTTTTCCAGATAAAAACTGGGAAGAATTTGTAAGATGACCAGTCTGGGTCAATCTCTGAATTTCCTGGAAATCCATCCAGGACAGCATATTGGCAGATGTAAAAACAAATTTGGGAAGAGAAATACAATACTCGCATTCCTTTCATATCTTGTGGTTTAGATTTCTCTCTTCCCATCAACAGGTGGAGCAGATTAGACAACAACTAAAGCAACACAAAAGCAAGGGTTTCAGTACAGTCAGAATATTGTTTTGTTTTGTTTTATTATATATATATGTGTGTGTGTGTGTGTGTGTGTGTTTTCTGAGGTTTTCGCGGGTGTTTGTAGGTCTTTGGTTTTTTATATATATTAATAATAATAATAATAGTAAAGTTGGAAGGGACCTTGGAGGTCATCTAGTCCAACCCCCTGCTCGGGCAGGAAACCCTACACCATTTCGGACAAATGGCTGTCCAGTCTCTTCTTAAAAACTTCCAGTGTTGGAGCATTTACTGCTTCTGGAGGCAAGCTGTTCCACTGATTAATTGTTCTCACTGTCAGGAAGTTTCTCCTTAGTTCTAGGTTGCTTCTC